AAGAGAAACAATATGATCAGCAAACATATGAACAAGATCAATACGAAAAAAGTAATTACGAAGATCAACAGTATAGTCAGGAACAATACGATAAACAGTATGAAACACACTACGAGTCACAACAATATCAAGATCAGGAACAAGATTACAGGCAGCAACAAGAACAACAAGAACTACAGCAGCAACAATATGAACAGGAGCAGGAAAAGTACCGTCAGCAACAATTACAACAACAACAAGAATCACAACGAGAGCAGCAGCAGCAACAACAACAACAACAGCAACAGCAAAGGCAACAACAACAACAACAGCAGCAGCAGCAAAAGTTACCCACGCAACAACTCCAGTCCACTGTTTTAACGGGAGCGGCTACATTAGGTTCCCTAATGGCAGGCGGTGCAAAAAAACTTGGTAGTTTCTTTGGAGCCGCGGCTGCCGCAGTTGCTCCGCCTTCACTAAGCCAACCGACAACCACAGTACAAGCAACTACAGCCTCTATTAGTCAAATGACACCTACTGTAGCTCCTTCAACTCCATTTTCAAGTACCGCCGCTCCCGTTACTACATCCGTCCCCGAAGTGCCAAAATCAGTAACAGTTACTGCCGCTACAACTACAAGTACACCTGTCTTGCCAAGAACACCATCACTCAGGAGACAGGAATCTATACAAAGACCTTCAGTGCGACGAACACGGACGTTACCCGACGCACCGGAGGACTTTGCTCAATCGAGTTTTGACGAAAGTGCCTACGAAGAAGAGTACCAAAAGACTGAATTAGATCAAAGCATAGACCGAGACAGAACTTCTTTAGACAGGTATCATGATGACGAGTATATGCATGACACAATTCAAGAAGAAATTGATACAGAAACTCACGCACCTGAAGTTTCAAGTCCGAGCTTAAAAAAGACTGCCTCCCCTACGAGAACTCTCTCACAAATTCGTAAGCCTTCTGTTGATAGTTACCATAGTCAAGCACCGTCGATACCCGATCGAAAGACTTCACAAAGTTCTGTTCAGATAGAAGAAAAGTTTCCCGTCCCAACCACACAAGAAGGTGAGTACTATAAAGCAAATCTGATGGGAAGTGATAACATGCAATAATATGAAATATAAACGGAGTACATTTACAAAATTTTGTTTTAAACGATTTTCAAACAAATTGGAGATTTTCTTCAGAAGATTGGGATTATTGTTATACTTTCAAGTAATGTTTCACGATAATTGAAGAATTGTGTAATTAAGAATTTGCTATGTTACTTAAGATAAGGGTTATCTGTTATCTTTATTTAATGAATCTGTCTTTTTCAGAAGCCATTAGTGATAAATCAAAAGTGACATTTCAAGATGAACGAACAACGTATCACGAAGTGCCGGAAGAGTTTGATACATTTCAAACAAGAGACTCATTTGACGAGCAAGGTTCTGAATATCAAGACGAGGAACAAAGTTTCCATGATAGAGACGATGCATTTAGAGAGGAAACAGAAAAGTTTGAAGAGGAACAGTTCAATGAAGTCGATGAAGCGTATAACGAAGATGATACAGTATTCCAAGAAGACGAAGACAGAGAAAAAGCAGAACAGTTGGATTTCCAGCCGGAACAGCCGAAGCTGACGCCAAAACAACGGTGGCATCGAGCTTACAACAAAATCGTCATGCAGCTAAACGTGAGTCATTTTTTAATATTTGTGACGAAATAAGCATATGTTTTTTTATTTATTTATCAATTGATAATTGTGTTATTTTATTGTTTCTTTCGTCACGTTTTATTTTTAGTGTAGTGTTCATGGAGAAATAACATTGTCTTTGTGTATTTTTATGTAATCTAGGTACGGTTGTTCATCTCGTCGGTTTATTCCATCTCAAATATCATCACTGAATTTTGAAAATAATTTCTTCTTCCATTATTAACTTATGTCACTATGAAAAAGAAGAAAGTTCTGAATTTGATCTGTTTTGACTACTTTGATATTTTATTTCTGTAAAAAATCAACACCGATTTTCCAGTTCTATAACAAATGTAACAATAAAATAAATAATTTAGGCAACTAACATCAAATTGCACAATTCGGGCGAATCAACTAACAGTGATCCTTAAAGAAGTACCTATTAGTTACTTGAACATGTTATAGCGCTGTATGTGTCCAATATTCATTTATTAATTGGATAGTTAAACTTCGTTAAAATCCTATAAATTGAACGTTAATATCTAGCAAAATAACTAAACCCAACTTCTTCGTATACTTCATTACTGAAGGTCGTGCTTGTCTTGATATAGTTTGAAATTGCCCATAATAATGATGAAACATTACTATCCTCAGATCCTATTACTAATCTTACATCTAATCAACTTACCGATTTAAATTCAGGTACGTCGCTATTTATAATTTTGTCTGTTACTTTAAAATACTTTTAATATTTATAATAAAAAAACATATAGAAAAACTAATTAACACAGAGAATGACACGAAGAAATGTTAGTGGAAATTTCCTTTTTTTTAAAATAATTTGTGACTTAAATATATTTTTTTTAAAGAACTAATCAATACGTTAGGAAATAAAGCATACAGTAATATGATAAACCATTACTCTCTTGGTCAATCAATACCTCACTTTCCTTGTGGGTTTTTGAGACCATAATCCCCGTTAAAGGCATGTTATCTCTGATTTGTTCAAGAAAATGAGAGGGATAACGATATGCTTTACAGAGATTTTGATCTCAAACCATGTGTCAATACGAAATATGACATTTACTGGATAATTTGCCTGCTGTGTGCTAGTTTGGTAATAATGATACGTCTTACAGTATTTTATTTATTTGTAAGGAGTACATTTCGTAACAATATAAAAGCATCTAAGAACAAGCAGTAGTGCTGCCCCCTGTCGGGACTGAATGTAGATTACGTACCGTAAATGTGAAAATGCTGTTATTTCGCCGCACGATACCGACCCCTTAATGAATAACCTTGAAGATAAGGGCATATTTGAATGTTATCATGACTTTTGGAAGGTTAGAGATTTTTCTACTTATTAAAAGGTTTATTTTACTGTTCGTTTATGACTTAGTAAAAATTTTCACTTAATTTTCTTCGTCTGGTTACGTATTTGTTAATATACTCATTGCTATCTCGATTTTAACAAAGATAATGAGAGGGATGACGATGTAACAATTACTATTACCAACGATAAGGAAACAATTACTATTGTAATGAACTGCTTAACCATGAATACCCTAAGTGTCGGTTTTGCAATCTAAATCTACACTAAAGAGCTGTCTTTAGTGACAATTTAACTACACTGTCGGTCAGTCAGTATTTTTAATTAATTCGTTATTTGCTAAGTTTAAATAATGTGTGCTATTTAGAAAACAAAGAGTTTTTGATGCCATTTAAATAGCTTGAATTATTCATTTATTCTACAAGAATTCAAAACATTGTGTTAATATAAATGATTTATAAAAAAATCGTTTGCAGTCTCAGACATCTATTGCTTAACGGGGCCTATTCGTTAAGTGGCCCGAACCGCCCGCTGAGTCCCGTGACGCTTTGAACCCGATTACCTCATTAGTTCAACTGACTTGTTCCAACTATACATATGTTCATATCAAACTATGCTTCGTTCAGTTCGTAAAAAGCATCGGACCAGTTAACATCTTTAGGAAAAAAATATTTGTTGAAACATGTGTTTAATGGCAACGAAAATATACAAGGACTCGATAGCGACATCCTGCGGGCGGCCATGGCCCTAATAACACGACGCGCGCGCACCTATCTCCTATCTATATGCAAATTAAGTTTTACTTCAGGTATTATTTCAGTACAAGTGTGAACGTTAGTACGTTATTGAGTTTAACCAGATACAAATGTTTAAAATGATGCGCAGTCGTAAGGGCCAAGCGGCCAGTGAGCAAGATATATATCGTGAGAAAACATTCTCCAGTCGTTCGAATGTTACTGGTTCTCGTCTCCGTGTCAGACGAGGATCTAGTTTAACGGATTTGGACAAGTTACGGTACGGCGCTGGGTCCAGTGGTGGTGGATCTATCGGTGATTTGATGAATATGTTCAGTGGTAGTGCAACTTCAATTGGTAGTGACAGTCTTGTAGCTCGGACGATGCCCTTGGAGACTGTAAGGAGAAGTATTCCGCCGGTATCCACGCCGCCGCCACATCCGCCGCCTTCGCCGCTAATACACACATCTAGACCAGTGGGTCCGCTTACGATGGCTCAACGGACATTACGATTTAGTCGGTTGTTAAAATATCAACCCTGTTCGACCGATGTCATTATAATATTGGTAAGTTATACCTTGTTATCTTGATTATTGTACTTAGAGATATGTTTAAACATCGTCGGTTTATATTTTCATAACGTGCTTGTTACTGTCATTACAATCTAAGCCACGATTGTTTATTTCGCGTTCTATTTTTGAATGGAACACTAAAGTTTTTGTGGAGAATTTTTTTTTTTTTTACAAAATTTCGTAAGCTTTATGATTTTATTTGCAACCAGTTATTACAAATATCCAAAAGAATATATTTATAAGGTGATAAAAGAATGTTATATTTTCTAAATAGATCGTAAACATGAAAAAGAGGTAACATCTTAAGAAGAATACGAAGTCAAACTTTAAATGTACGCTGTATCACCTCACAAAGTAACTTCGCATGTAAAACATGTTTTTATTTACATCTGCATTGTAATATTTTCTTACTTTCATGATATTCAGCAGTTGCACTTAGTTCAAATGTCACAGACGTATTTACATGAGAAGCGTCAGCTGAGAGCAATTTTCACTGAGGGAATAATAAAGAGTTTGCTTATTTAAAATCTTAACATTTATTTTTACGAGACAATCGGAAAATATTACAGATTACTTAAAGTAAATATACTTATAACGTATATTAATAAGTTGAATACTAGATATGTTTAAAGTATTAATTACAAAATATATATCTAAACTTACAACTAAATTTTATTGGATTTATTTCACTGTTAATTTATTTGTCTTTTAGTTGGCAATTATAAGAATTAATTTACAGAAGATTTTTTAATTAATATTGAATAATGTTGTACCAAATGAATGGGATATATAATCCCTATTGGTTTATTTATGCATATTTCTTCATGAATTTCAACAAATATTTTAATTTAGGCATTTCAATGTTATGGATACATCTGTTGAAGTCTCCGATCACTTTGACGGAGTGAGTCATCATTCTAGATATTATATCTTTAAGACATACACTCAGATCTGATACCTCTTTGAAGCCATGGATAGCTATTTCCGCCATCACAACCGGAAACGGTGATGTTTCGTACAGGAACTGAAATATTGTGAAAAAATTAACAATAGCGTTTAAAATATAGATATAAAATATAAAGGTGTTGCCACACGTGCGATACGATTGCGGTACGGCGAATCTCTTTTAGGATTTTGGATATATTGTGAGCTACACTCAACGCAAAACATAACGTTACGTGATTGAATCACAATAGAGTTGAAATTTGATGTTCAAATATGTTAAAATGTTTGATATTCTGTGTGCAGTCTTGATTTGTTTTGTAAGTGTAGTTTTTAATAAGATTATGGTTCCGCACCTGCGGTTCAGCACTCGTGTGGCATCTACTAATTTATAGCAAGAATTAATTGAAAAAGAGTACATAATTATTTCCCTGTTACTTACAACTGTCCTCTCGAGATCTTGACTCTCGTGAGAGCAATTACCACCAACTTGCTGCTGCTTTTGACATTCGAATAATTTAGATGCTGAATATTTTTTCAAGTTTTCCAAAGTTTCGAAATGGACTTGTAGCTTTTCTGTAATGAAAATAAAAATTCAATATTATAATTTTATAGTTTATTAAGTAAACTTATAAAAGAATTTATTATACATCCTTATTTCTATAATTACAAATAGTCTTAAATCTATGATATAAAATAAAATATAAAAAAAACTAATAATTCACTAAAATATGGTATTAAAAGGAGTCCCTTTAGGCAAGGTCCCGAAGATACTGGCAGCGTTCCCCCTCTGTACAGCTAAACTAATTCTTTGACCGAGGTAGCTGCCAGCTCTTCGGTCCCCTGTGATGTCGATTATTTTTTTGGAAATGTCCTTAAAAAGTCTTAAAGCGCTAGGACCCCACGGACCAAGGGTCTCGACGCCGAGTGGGACAAAATGATATTCGGAGCCTAGACTAACTTATAAATACGTCGTTTTATATTGACAATGTCCAATAATCGACAATTAGAAATAATGTTGTATCAGTACTTTAGTACTATAGTGTAAAGCACGATAGAAAAGCCTTTTATCTTATCAAAAGTAAATACAATTCAAACGTAATATTCGTATTACCTATTGTTTCAATACAAGGCTTAAACCCCATTTTCATGTGGCAATTAGATGCATTAATACAAGAATTTATCGGTTTTCGATTTGTTTTATACTGATCTGAAGTTTTGCCCATCAAAGTTTAGACTTTTCATAAAATTCGAGCAACTCACGTCATAATATGATGTTTAACATCTTGCCTAATAAGTAACATTTTTAATTGAGTTATCTTTAGGTTTTCCTACGCAAAGGTTTTAAAAATAAATGCTTTTGGGAATAAAGCAGTGACAAATATGAAAAGAACGACTGTATACTGTATTTTAATATAGTAAAGCAAGTCTAACATTTATCAGATTCCTTTGTATCCTTTATTATTGTATAACAGAGCAAATGTTTTCAAAACATCCTGTGTTTGTTACGAACTGTACCACACGTAACGCAAACAAGGAAGACACTCCCAAAATAAAGAAGCCCGTATGTAGGTTAACAATGATACTTCGCCACTGGAGATTTGTAAGCACACGAAACAGACACAGTTTAGTAAGCAAAAATACAAAAAAAATGAAGCTAGTAAACGTATTAATTATATTTTGTATTTATAATCGTAGAATAGTTATATCTTTTAAGGACTTCCGAAACCAAAATCCCTTTTTGAAACATATTGTCATCTTTGTTTTGTCAAATATAATGACAGGGATGACGATATGGATTAAACGGATCTTTTGGTGTCGGAAACCAACGGTTAGTGAAATTTGAGCAAGATCAGATTATGTGTTTCATAAGATTAGGCAGGAAATCTTATTTTACTAATATTATAAATGCGAGTGTTTGGATGTATGGATGGATGTTTGTTTGAAGGTATCTCCAGAAACGGCTGCATGGATCTCGCTGAAATTTGGCATAGATGTAGAACATAGCTTGGAAGAACACATAGGCTACTCATTAAGTTGTTCTTTATTCCGCGCGGACGGAGTCGCGGGTGACGCTAGTTAATAATAAAATGTCTGTTACCTGGCAGCCTTTGTACTCTTTGGTAACCAAGAGCGAGGCATAATGTTACATTCTCATCGGCCAGTTGTAAATTTTCTCCCAAAAGTTTGACAATACTTTCCTTGCAGTACGTTCCGTTACGCGGCTTGCGGTCATGAATTATTATCTACAACATATAAAAAAAAATTATCAATGTTTTAATGAGATAAGAAACAGACTCGTATTAGTATTCTTCCAAGAATTATTTCCTTTCTTCCATGAGTTATTTTCTCGTAATAAAATATTGTCCAATTTTATTTTATCTAACTAATAATTTGCTGCTAGAAAAGATTTCTATTGTTTGCTAATTTTTAATCTTATCCTCTTAAATATAATAGATTCAACATTAAAAAGTTTCTAACACATTCGTATTGTGTCTTCATAATTGGATGTAGTAACTAGTTGTTCGGACTTTGTTGTTACAGTGGGTAACATGATTGTTAAAGTTGGATGGAAGGCCGCCGGCCACATTTCTCCTAAACTTTAACATACAAAGCTGTTCGTATAAAGCTAAAGTTCTTGTTAACATTTAGTAAATTAAGAAACAGATGAAAACATACAAAATTCATGTACTAAATAATTACTAAGAGAGTGCCTTAATATAGATTTAACTTAAGGAATAACACAGAAGATAGGCATCAAATGGGAGCAACTTCGCGTTTCGTTTGATGATTGAGTGTGTGGGAGGACTAATTTTTGTATTATTTTCCTTTCCATCTTTTCCTAATGAATACAGATTGGAAGGGGAGAGGGATTAGGCAAAAGCCAGGCAACGCATCTGAAAATGCCAATGTCTCTAGGCAGCGGTTTCTTCACTATTTTGGCGAAATCGGGCAACTTTTTTTATAAGAGAAGGGGGCAAACAAGCAGCGAGAACACTGATGTGTTCATAGACGCCTATGGACATCAGCAATACTAGAAGAACCGCAGATGCGTTGCCGGCCTTGATATGCGGTGAGACGCGGCTTGCTCGTTTGCCCCCTGATACTATTGTAAAATCTATACTGAGCGACTGTTTAAGTAATCATTAAATTACTGTAAGCGGCAGTATATGATAAACTATGAGTACTTTTTAGTGTTAACAATCTTAATATCATAGTATAGTAGTAAATGTTATGGCATGAAATGGTACTAATGAATTGTTAATTTAATTTTTAATTGCTAATTATGACCATTATTTTGGTGTTTGCATAACGCTTAAAAATTCATATTTCTAAAGTTTCTCACTTGAATTCTTAGGTACTTTAGTCTAGCAGAGATAAGGCTTTTTATCAGTTTTAAAACATCCTTTATAACAAGTAACTTAATACATTAAGGAAGTAATTATGGAATAAAGAAATTTATGAGTAGATTTAAGACTAGAAAATTCACGAGTAAAGGTCATAAATTTACGCTAAAACACGTTTAATTTGGGATAGTAAAAATTTAAATATTTTTCATACGTTTACTTTTTAAATTTAAATTGTGTTCATTCCTTTGAATGTAAAACAATACAATAAATAGTAAAACTAATGTAGTCAATAAAAAAAAACCAACAACTACCTACCTAACAAACAAAATACCACATTGAAAAATATCACCTTGGAAAATATCACAATTGGAAAAATTTTTATTCATTTAATAAATTACCTGAAAGTATAAAGATATTTGTTCGAGATACACCGTCATGTAATTTATAGCTTTGTCTGCTTCGTTCTTCATGAGAAGTTTAATTTGTGATACAAGAGTGTCCATGTCCTCTCTAGACTTTTGTGTTCTCACTTGTATGTCGGCTATCAATGTACGGTACCCATTGATAAGGTTGTCTTGAAAGTCTGTAGTCTGTAAAATAAAATTATAACATACAATTTTAACGTAAAAAAACATAGAATATTAAGCTAGCGTAGCTCCGCAACAAACCAACGAATATTATAACTATTTTTTTTAATTTTGTAAACAAAATATAAATACAGCCAAACCTGAATAAGTGAAAGCTGGATAAGCGAGAAAAACATCGGTACTTTGGACTTTTATTTATCCAGGCTTGGATATATCGGGTTACATAGCGTCTAGAAATTTTTTAAGCAAACTCACTGCCATATTAAGCAGTTTCACACTATCATATTTAATTTATAAAGGTGTAGTGATTGTTCATATGCTTAATTGTTGAAAACGGAGCTATGTAATTCATTAATTTCCGCATAATTACTATGTTTTAAAAGAATTATAAGTATAACGAATTTAACCTTAGGCCACCAATGAGGTCTAGCACTAAATTATATCATATCATAATCTTACAAAAGAACCAGTCAGGTTTACATTTAACTAAATAATAAGACGTAGTAATATTTTCTCTTTTAATGAGATATATAATATTTTCGATGTTTATATTAGAGGGGCGTAGGAACAAAAACCGATACACCACATTATATATTTTTGGGCAAAAGAGTATAAATTTGGCCAAGTTCATGGAGAGCAATCAATTGGCGTCACAAAAAATTTCAAAATGTGATTTGTTGTTTTGTTCGACGTTCCTCATTACTTACTAAATTTTTTCAGGAGGTTCGTGTTGATTTATATCTTTTACTATTATTAAGCTAATATTGCATATAATATAAATATCCCACGTCCATCTAACTGAAATCCGCTGTAAGGGTTACCAATGCTTTTTGAAACTTGGGTATGCGGAACTTAGAAACTCGGTCGCATGTACAGTGACCGAGTTTCCAAGTTTTAGCAAAACAATTTAAAATTATAAGGTCTCTTAAACTATATTATGTATATGTTTATATGCAACGTTTGAATCTCAATTTATTTTTAAACTTAAAAAAATACGCGCGTATGAATTTTATTTGTGCTTGATGTTTAATTATAACGATATAGAAAACAATATTATGATAAAAAAATCTGAATTGTCTTGACAAATTGACATTTATGTTATTGCTTACATTTTTACTTCTTCTTACATAAAAAAAAAATAATAATTAGTAAATGTTACACATAAGCAAAGAGTTAAAATAAAAATATGAATGTTTGGATAAATTCGTAACAAAACTTGTTGAAAATTATTCAACTTACAGAGCTGAGGTTTTAAACCTAAAAAAGTAGTAGACGGTTATTACAATAATGCGAGAGAACTATTTAAAATAAGAGAGAGTTGAAATTATTAATACATTACTCTGTATAATTATTTTAGTCTATGTTGTTTAGTTTCTCATTCAATAAATATAGGCATTGTTTCTACGACCTTTTAATTTATTGTCGTCTACGGGCTATAATCACTTCGCTATTGTAGCGAAAACAGTTGACTGTTTGATCGTTCGTCATCTTATAATTAAAAAATAAATGAACTCACCTGAAAGGTAACGGCAAGAGATGTGCAAATAAAAGCTATGAACACGTTGCGATTCATTTCCGTTCGTTAATGCCACATCACATTTCAACTGAATACTAACATCCTACCGGATATTCCGGCATTTGTTTCCTAAATAACTTAATTGAATTTTTAATCTGTTTAATTTTATGCTAATTAAAAATTGAGAGAAATTAATTTTTAATTTGTTTAAAATGTTAAATTCACTTTAAATATAAAAATATCACGAAGTTTGTCATGTATGCGGTTTGCGTGTGTGGATTTTGCAGTCCAACTGATTGTTTAAAACGGGGCTACTGTTGTTTTGCCTCGCGCGCCGTTTGTTATGGGTACGATCCAAATTCAATCGACAATTATCACCACTTGGACCGCTGCATTGGTTTATAGCGCGTTTTAAATCGTTCACCATTAAATCATATGTACGTTTTTTATTTTCAAAGTATAAATATTTTATGTTGTGAATTGATTGTCAATCGTTTGCTCTTCTGATTGATGAATGAGATTGATTGTTATTGTTTAATTTAAAATGTTAAATTGTTTTGTTTTTTATTTGATCATATTGTTTTGTGTTGACAGTTTATCATACGGTTGCGGATCTCTTTGTTTGCGGTCTTCGCTGACCAGGTGACGAGACATTCTTTTAAGAAAGTCTATCTTGTTGCTAATTGTGTGTCCGTTTGTGTAGTCTTGCTACGTTGAACTTAAGCTAATTTTAAATAATATTTTAATATCCATATGTTTGATTAACTATATCAAGAATATCATATCCGTGTCATCCTATCGTAACATACATTTTGTACACCATTTTCGAAACTTTATGACATAAACTGTCATAAAAATTAAATCATTTTAATAGTAAAATTTGATGGCTGAAACACATATAAGACACATAGTTTCGTCTCTGATTTTCTCATAGACAAAAAGCAATGACAGCATACAATTGCTAAGTTATTGGAAACTCGTAGTTTCAGGCTAGTAAAGTACGAATTACTCTGAAATAGGACCTAAATCAAAGTAAAAAATTCTGTCATTAATCTTGCTAACTTAACCTTTTAAATAACGCAGGGGACTTATATATCCCCGATTATTTCGTATTGTACCATTAACAGAAGTAGAACATATATTATATTATTGCTATGGACATTATTATATTTACTTTTTTATGTAACTATTTAATAATAAGACAAGACTCTTTCTAACAGCATACCAAAGCTAAGTTTTATGTAATGTGAAGACAATTAAATTAATCTATATTTAATTTTGAAATATGTTTCTTGAACGTTGTCTCTTTTTCAAAAGGAATATTTTATTTTTATAACTAAAACACTGAAATAGATTATACGAAAAATTTAATACTGAAAGATATATTTATAAATTAATTTAGGTTGATTGCATAACACCATCCACAACTTTAATTATTTAGTTTATAAATAATTGAATAAAATTACCTTCCGCACTCCCTCCAACATCCAAACTAATTATATTAAGTCCGGTAAAATCGTTTTCACACACTAATTGGATGACTGGGAAACGAGTAGAGAATAATAATCGGTTTATTTATCATTATTTGTTTTGTCTTTTTAAATATGCCGATGTTTTTTTTTGGTTAAAATGCCATAAAATTATTTAAAAAAAATAAATCGGAATGAATTCCTAGGAATTCGCAGCATGAAACTTTAGTATATGATTCAATACTAATATTATAAAATGGAAGAGTTTGTTTAAACGCGCTAATCTCAGGAGCTACTGGTCCGATTTGAAAAAATCTTTTTTGTTGCATAGTCCATTTATAGACGAAGGTTTAAGGCTATTTAACATTACTCTGCTACCAATAGTTTTTTTTAATTTCGCGCGGACGGAGTCGCGGGCGACAGCTAGTCTAAAATATTTACGAAAACAATGTACCGTGGCTTTCTAAGCCCGGTGCCTTTTTTAAAACATATTGTTGTCTCTGTTTTGTCTAAGATAATGACACGGATGACAATGTATTTTATACACAGTCAGACTAATTTTTTAAAAGTTTTGATTTATTAAAAAAATAATTTTATTTATAAAATAACGGCATAGTTTATTGTTACCTGTCTGCATCTGTAATGTAAAATAACTGTTAATTAGAAATCCATTCAAATGAGACTTAGAAATAGGGTTTTAGGTTCTTATTTTAAATTACTTTTCTATTTTATAGGTCTTGTGGATAAGAGCTGTGTAATTTTCTCTTGAATGGCAACAATTTTCTAGCTTAAAGGATTGGGGCAACTCAATTAATGGAATCGTTTACTAAGACTTCAAAGTTATTTGAAATACTTAGGCCGAGTTATTCATTTATTTCGTTACCACGTATTATTACAAACATGGGTGATATAGACCAGAGATTCCAAAGCTTATACTCTCGTAAAACTTTTTTATACATTGGTGTTGGGAAACCTTATTACATTTCTTCTTCCAGTAAACTTTAATATATTTTATGTAGTCTTCTGTGGTTGTTTTAACTGCCGTTTTTAAACTCAGATAAATTGTCATTGACAAACATTATTTTCATTATCAGCTCACTATATGTCCCCACTGAGGAACTCGTCATACATGAGGTGGTAGTCAACCACGCTGACCAAACCGGGTTGGTTGACTTCACACATATCTTTTGAATCTATTGTCAGATATGTGCAGGTTGTATCACGATGATTTTCTTCATTGTAAGAATATATAATAAATAAATATTTGGTTTGATTTAATTCAAATTGAAAAAGTTTAAGTATTTGTAGGTTTGTAGTTACTTATTAATATGAAACACAAATTGTTGGACCGTGAAATGGAATCGTTTAATGTAATTCGATTTAGCGGTAATGTGTAAGAAGGAAATTGCATTGCGATATAAATGTTCTTACGTAACTTTAATTAATGCTTGGTAAAACATTTTACATTCGTATACTGCTAAAGGATGCATTTTTGATACGGAGACACTTTAATATAAGTCTGAGTTTCCACTGCCGACACATCTATTGTTGCCTAGCAAGGAATATAAAAAATGTCCAGAGGGCGCTCCAATCGTCTTTATCAGAACACGGCGAGGGCTTTTTTCCTAGTCAAGTTTTTTTTATCGCTGTTTTTTTTTAAAACAACCCACAAAAGTCTCAGTAGTAAAAAATAACAATTTGAATAGTTTTGTTTATGTTAAAATTGCATTTACGAGTAACTACGCTCGTTAGCTTTTAAATCATACACTACTAACAATATTGTGTTGTTAACGTATGTATTAATTATGAAAATCTGGATGACATTTGAGAAGCTTTGCTCGGTATTTTTTTTTAATTGTGTTTTTTGGAAATCTTTATATATATAATTCTAGATTTATGTATATAAAGATATATACAAGAATTGCTCATTTAAAGATACAAGATATGATTTCAAACAGGAGTTAAATGTACGTTATCGTCGTAAGATATATTTAATTGAAATATTTTTAATCATATACATTCACAAATATAATCATTTATGATCTAAAAGAACCCTACACGTACAGTAATACACTAATGTATTCAGTCTATCCGCGTCTTCCTCAACTAAATTACTTTTCCATGTTTTGGTTGTAAGTACGTCTCGCCGGCGATCGTCCAAGAATAGGTCACCCTCTGACAATTGCCAGTCAGTTAGAGGCGTCCAATTAGAAAATTGTGGCATTATTTTTAGATGCAATTTTGGTAGAAGATATTTTAGTGAGAGCTTTTACTTAATTAAGTTAATTATTAAGATTTTACTGTTAGCGTTATATTTTTAATTTTCTTTCATTTATTTGTTTTGTTTCTTGTTAGATAAAACATCTTACAGCAATTAATTGCTACTTAGCTAGTAACTCTGTGTACTGTTTTGCACTTTTATTCCACGCTAATTCTAACAACACGTGCAGATTTTGTTTTCCAAAAATAACAGTAGGGATTTCATTGTGTTATTAACAATAACTACACAATAGAAAATTATATATTAGTTTAAAGAATTAATAACATTAGTTATATTATTTGTGAAAATTTATCTTATATATAAGATTTTTATATCACATTGTCTGTTATCATACTCCTCCGAAACGGCTTGGCCGATTTTTATGAATTCTTATATGCATATTGAGTAGGTCTGACAATCGACTACTATCTATTTTTAATACCGTTCGGACAGAGTCATGGACGACTGCTAGTAAGTTTATAATAAAACTAGCTGTCGCCCGCGAGCCCGTCCGCGCCGAATTAAATAAAATCTTAATTACTAGCCTCTGTGTTCTATATCTATGCCAAATTTCAGTGAGATCCATGCAGTCGTTTTGGAGCTTCAAACAAACAAACATCTATCCAAACATTCGCATTTATAATATTAGTAAGACTAAATTAAACATATCTTGTATGAAAATAAAGTAGTGAATTCATTTCCTTTGTTTACGAGTTTTGTATTTTGTTGTTTAAAGCGACATTAAAGAACATTTTCCGGTTAAGAGTATTACTTACCGTTCAGCGCACGCCTGACGCAGCCAACTGGGTATTATTTATCACAATTACATTTTCAGCTACGTTAGTTTTAATGTTTAAAGATTTGTTGAAATAACTTATTTCGTACGGGAATTATAAAATACGAAAGAAACCAAGAAACATATTTTTAAACATTTTATTGATATTTTCAATGTTTTTTTTGAAACTTAACTCATACTTTATTATGCTTTAAGAATGTCTTTTAATATCTCTTAATTCAATAATAAAAATGTCAATAGCCTAATGGTTAAAGGCACGGATTTCCGATCACGAGGTCGGGGGTTCGAATCCTGCCATTCGACTATTGCCGTGAACCATATCCTAGCACAAGCATAGAGCTTAGTTGGAATTGTCAAAACACAGTCTGGAAGAACACAGAGGCTATTCATTATAAATTTTTTAAAGGTCGGAACGGAGTCGCGGGCGACGGCTAGTTAAGAAATAAATGCTTAATTTAATATTATAGTGAGGGATAAAAACTAATTAGTTTGTATAATTTTTGTTCTTCAAATAAGTATACGAAATTTCCTCTTGAATGTGTTGTATGCAAATAGCTGGAGCAATGCAGTTCAGTTGAAACAAGCACGTGCGCGGTGCTCCGGAATTATGCATATTAATGTTGTTTGCGTTGCATAAATATATTAGTTTTCATTTAATGTTAAGGTTAAATAGCTAATTCTCATTTGCAATGCTTGCGAAACTGTTGATTTATTTATCTTACTTCTTACTATCTTGCTAATATTATAAATCCGAATGTTTAGATGGATTTATGCATGGATATTTGTTTGACGACATCTCCAGATTGGCTGC